GTCAAAGTGCCCACAAGGACGTAAAGCAGGTGCCCCTAAACACCAGCTTTGTTTTATGGTTGTTTCTTTTATTTTTTTGCATTTTCTCTAACACAGCTCTATGGCTTTTACAGTGACTGCTGATCTTACCAGAGCAAGGTGCGAGCACACTGAGAAACCACACGCCTCCCGTGGTAAAACCAGCTCTGTGCGGAGAAGACATTCTCATCTCGGACAAACACACCCCCCAGGATTGCAAATGAGAAAAACTGCTGAGAAGTCTGCTCGGAACACAGGGATCTACTCCCGAGGGCTCAGTGCTCAGAGTGACTAAAATCCACCAACAGGCAGCAAGTCAGTACAATCTTTCATGACGAGAGCTACACTTTACCATGACAGCTGCACTATAAACCAAAAAAAAACATTTCCAAAGAAAATCCTAAAGCATCTAACAGACTTTTGACCAGGTAATCCCACACAAAAACTGTATGTGCAAAGACGCTGTCTGTAATAGGAAAATACGCAATACGCCAAGTAGTTCGAGTACCGGCAGGCATTCAACGCATAGTAATACAGCACCGTAACAGCAGCAAACTGCCTCTGCAAAGAACAAGTATGTGGACTGTGGATCTAGGTGGGAAACTCTATCATGCCAAGAAAACCAGGAATTACACTCACCTAGGCCCTACGATCATACGTACAAATTCTTATGTTCAATTCAGTGATAAGAATAAACGCTGCCCTGTAACACGTCATAAAGGTCACTTGAAACAACCCCTAAGCTCCCAGGCTGGTGCATATGCTGTCAGAAACACCAAGAACAAGTCCCTCCAAGGAGCCAGGGTCTCAGGTCCACTCAAATGGCCCAGCCCTACTCGTAACACACAACAAAGACAGCCACCTCCACTTCCACCACACACAATAAAAACAAAAATAAAACAACCAGATAACAAAACATTTTAACAATAATTTTTAATTATTTGCTCCTATTGTAAAAATATCTTTTACCCTGACAATCTTTTCTCTTAGGAAAATACACCAAGATATTACGTTGTACTGAAACAAACTGCCAATAACTGAACACTTGACTGCGACCATCTTAATTTTTCAAACCCTTTCCAGGCCCGACTCCCCACAAGCTCCTCAACTGGTCCAAGTCAAGAGGGCATCTGCCCGGCTTCACTGCCTGCACCAGCGGAAATGCCATGACAAAGGTTTCAACTTGAAGCCAAGAAAATCAAGTGAAGGCAGTGCCCAGACTGTGTGGGCCAAACCCCACAAAGGGGCTCTTCACAGAAATGAGAGACTGTTGATTTTTAGACGATTCTGGAGATCAGTTACAATCACTCTAGCAAGTTTCATCTCAAACACTAGAAATTAAGAATGGTGTCTCTTTTAAAACCCAGCTCCTGAGTTTCACCCTCAGTTCTCTGTCCACCCCCTCCCTTCTACCCGACATCACTTATCTTGAGCCCGTCCTGCAAAGAGTCCCTGGGCTACACAGAAGTTCCCCACATGCTTTGAAATTTTCCATTGTATTTAAGAAAGTTTTTGGCCTGATACACAATATCGCTTATATAGATTATAAAACACTTAATGCCCTCATCCACAATCAAACAGTTTTCTTTCTTTTTAAAGCTGTCTCCCCTCATACTTTCATTCTCAATACAGCAATTTTTACTAACATGACAGCTTCTGACAGGTCGACAGAACACCCGTGAGTCAGGTGTGCCCCTGGCTATGCCCCTCTTCCCACCACCACCTCAGGGCTGGGGCCCCTCTGGAGGACCACTCCCTTCCCAGGTTCATGTCTTAGTCCGGTCAGGCGGCTATCACAAAACAGGACTGACAAGGTAGCTTATAAACAACAAGTTTCTTTCTCACCGTCCTGGAGGTGCCAGTGCGGGCAGGTGAGAGCCCTCTTCCGGGTCACAGACTTCCTGCTCTGTTCTCACACGGTGGAAGGGGTGAGTGAGCTCTCTGGACCTCTTTATAAGGCACCAGACCCATTTATGACTTCACCCACCTTCCAACAGCCTGCTCCTAACATGGTCACCTTTGGATTTCCACACGAGTGGGTGGAGGGACCACACAGACACGCAGACCACGGCAGGACAGGACAGGGACAAAATCCTTAGGCGCTCATTTCTACTGGGCCACACCTGGACACACCAGTCAAGATGGTCTTTCTTAATCATCTTTGGTGGCTAATGCCCACATCCAAAGGAATAACCAGCAGATGAAACCTTAACGGGTGAGAACAGTAATTACATTCCCTGCCAAAAAATCCAGCTCAATTTTAAAATGCCTGGACCAAGAAATAATTGAAAATAGTATCATTTTACTCTGAATTGTAAGCAACAAGATGACACTTAGCTGCATTTGATATTCAGCTTCAACACACAGACCCTGCTCCTCCTCCTCCCTGACCTCGGGGTGGGGAAGAAACCTGCTCCCCTCCCAGTAGGACGAGGGGCAGGCAGACCTGCTGTTTGCTCCGTCTGTCCCAACTGCTTTTCAATGTGACGGAAGCAAATTCACAGCAGTTTCCATCCTGCCTTTCTCTTTATCAGCTCTGGCAGAAAGGTATTTAAAAAAAATTTAAATGAAGACATACAAGGTCCTGTAATTTCTGAAACGTACCCTCGCACTCCTTCCCAGCAGGAGCACACCAAAACACGTTTTCAGTGCAGCAAAAACCCACCGCACCCTGAGGGACACAGCGAAATCAACTTCGCTGACAGGTCCTCATTCCTCACGTAATATTACTCCTGTCACTCCCACAAAGACCCTAAATTCCTTCTGATCTCCAGTTACTATAAATAATAATCAGGAAAGAAATGAAGTCCCAATTCCCGGTCATTTTAGGGGCTTTCTTGCCTAATCATCCAAAAAAGGGAAAGGACTCTAGTTACCACAGGCACACCGAGTGCAGACGTTCCTGGTCTGTCCCTGCCGAGGCTCCAGACGCACTGCGCCCTGCGGGTCACCTTCTAACAAGCTCCTCAGGAAGAACCCCGCACCCGGCCCTGAAGCGCACAGGCCACAGCGACGTGGGGACGCAACGGCAAGCCCTCCGCACGCCCAGCCTGGCGCCAGTCCCTCAGGCGTCACTTACCACATCCTCTCGAGGACGCCCAGAGCAGGCGTGAGGAGGGGGTCCAAGCCCCCGCTGGCGCTGGACTGGCCCTCAGTGGTGCCACCCTCGGGCCTGCAGCTCAGGCCAGTGGCAAAGCCTAACAGGAACGAGAGAGCCCAGAGCAGCCGACTCCAGCAGCAAACCAGGCCACAGGCTGCAGGCAGGTGTGCCTTCAAATACTTCACCTGACCCTTCAAGGCCCTTCCTCTGCCCCTCTTCATCTTTCCCACGTGCGCAGGACTGGTACCTCACCCATGAAGGACAGAGGAACACAGAGCACAGTCATTCTAAACGGCTCCTTGCTGCAGGAAAGGTCAGGGCAGCACAATTAGAGGGAACACCCTCGTGTGCCTTCGTTGGCTGTTGTTCCTCCCCATGCCTGGTGCCTAAGTCAGGGGACAAGGCTTCCACAGCCCACTCCCTAGAGGAGCAGGTGCTGTGGTCCAGAGCCCCCCTGGGGCTTCTCCTGTCCCCTGCAGAGCACCGCAGGCCAATACTGCTGTCTACTTCCATGAAGATTAAAGATGACGCTGGTAGCCCCAGGCCACCCTCCCCACCAAGCCCCCATCAGACAGTGCTGAAGGTTATGGCCAAGGGCAGGTCATCCACCAGCCAAGGGCTCCGGAGGCCCAGGCCATCTCCCACAAGCTCTGAAGACACTGAAATGTGGAAGAACGATTAAAATAAACACTATTTCCCAAGTCACACTGAATCCCAGTCCATAAAAATCCAGAGCTTTTCCTTGCTTCAACTGTTCTCAAACGGCAAAGCCACCTTACTGCCCTTATCCCCACCTGAGACTGTGTGTGAGTGTCTGTGTGTGGTGAGGGGATCTCTGTACCTGCTCAGATCACCCAGTGTCGAAGACCAAATTTTCAAAAACAAAACTGATACAAGTCTGAAGAAAATTCTTCCCTGACAATCTTTTCCCCCTGTGATAAGCTTTAAAAAGGAAATGACAGAACAATTGCATCTGGTTACTTATTTCACAGGTTATGCACGGGCTGGTCCAAGTAAAGCTGAGGGCTGTGGTCAGCGCACTCTGAGAAGGTGGAGCAAGAAACCACCATCTTCGGCGTGGCTGGTGTGCAGGTCGTGTGCATAAACAGGGAGGTGGGATTTAAAAGACAAGACAGGACTGGTTAGCTAAACGTCATCATAGTGTATCATAAAAGGTTATTACTCTACAAGAATTCTTTATCTCACAGGAAAATAGAGAATCAAACTGGTTCTTCAAATTTGGCTAAAGCAGAGGAAATGGCCTATCTAGTACCTACAGAAATTTCTACAAACTCCAAGTTCTGCTCCCATCAACTTTAAAAAGTTCTTTTTTTAAAGGGTGCTACAACACCTCCAAAAATAAAAGAAAAATCTAAGCTGGAAAAGACATGAATTACAAGGACCATTTATGCTCACACGAAAGATTATGGCATGGAGCAGGGGGGTGGGGGGCATTCTTTAAAAATAAACTCCCTGGAGCTTTTGGGTATTTTTTTAAATTGATCATTTACCAGGGACTATTCACAGCAAAGAAAGGGTTGTTCTGAGTCACACGAAGGGAAATCAACAAGAACTAAAATATGAAATAAATCACCTGTAATACAGTGTGAGGCAGTGTAAGGGAGAGTAAAGTTTGATTTACAGGAATGTGAGGCACACAGGGCTCCAAAGGCCCACAACCCTACCCACAGAGACAGCTCAGACAGGTCCGAGGGCGCAGATGGACGGTCACTAAGTCCAGGCTCTAGGCCACCTCTGCTCCACTGCAAAAACACTCCGGCTCCAGGAACAATGTGTGAAATACAAAGGTTAACTCTAGCCGGTTCCTAAAAGTCACTTAAACTCCTTTTTATAAATACATGAATACACAGATTGGTGCTTAAAGTAAAAGAAAGGTGTGGAGGAGATAAAGGATTTCAGGAACGCTGTTTTCTTACAAAATTCTTACTCCACAGATCAGATGGTTCGTTATTTCTTGAGCACTTTCTTCAGCAGAATCCCCTGGTGGTAAAAGTCCAGATCTTTCTCCACTGCCTAAACGTGAATGCACAATTTCTCCTTTTGGGAGAGTATTATGCTGAAAATTAGTGTTGCATAAATACCGTTACCTTTTCTGGTGAAAAACTCCTTGGAATATTTCCCCAACATAGCGTATTTTCGAGGGACTTTCCCCAGCAGTTCAATGATCAATGCTATGTGATCTGCATTGGGAAACATTGCCAGCAAAACAGAAACACACGACAGTTTAATCAGTACACTGCATGCAGACACTGCCACCGCCCGCGCAGACAGAAACAGAGGCCACCTGAACCATCAGAGCACAGTTCTGCCCTTGCGGCAGGATTCAGGCCACCGCAGAGAGGGGGCTGACGCACAGGGTGACCGCAGCACACGGCCAAACGCAGTCTTCCCTCTCAACTTGGAAATCAGCATAGGAAGTCTGCTGGGTTGCTTTGGGAATTTAGCAGAAATGCCTTTGTCAGCATTTATGCTACGATCGGCAGCTGCTATTCCGTTTCTGTCTGCATCGTGGCGCTTTTCAAAAAGAAGAGGTACTACCTCTGCGATTGAAGAATTCCCGAGAATATTTTCCAGACAGAGCAAAGTGCCTTGGGATACTGCCTAGCAGCTCTATGATGTGGGCTATGTGGTCTATGGAGGAGAGAAAAAAAAGGATACGGGAATGGGAGGGGGAAAGGGAAGGATGGGATAAAAAAAAGAGGGGGAAAATTGAAATTAGTAAAAAATCAGAAATAGATTCAAATCAACAATGTCTGCAGCACATCCATGCAGAGGCTTCTGGGACTGGCAGGTGTCAGGAACCATCTGGAGCATTAACAAGGACTGACGCCAGCTCACCCCAGGCCACCGCAGCATAGCAAGCAAATAAGCATGGAGATGGTCAGGTTTGCAGATGGAATTCAAGCCAGAATTCCTTGGTTTTCAACTCAGCCCCCAACAGAACAGAGAAATGGGCAGTGATGAGTGGACAAAAGGACCAAGGAGAGGCTTCGCGTCTGTGCGGCCTGTCCCCTCCCGCCAGCTGGGTTCGGGCCCACGGGAGCAGGCTGAAGCCCAAGGGCTCCCTGCAGTGTCACCTATGCCAAGAGGCGCTGCCCATTCACTGTCACTGGAGGGGCTTCAAGTTCAAAGGGAAAGCATTTGAATTTGGTGTTTGAAAACCAAAACACAGTCCTATTTTGGTACAAAAACACAGTATTCTCCGGAAGTTCAGGACTCTCAGGAGACTCAGAAGGAGGGATTCAGCAGGCAGCAATACTCACCTTCATCTCTGGAATAGTCTTCCCCAGAATGTGGTTCAAACAAATAATCTCCCGTTGCCAGCTCAAATGCCTAGGATACAACAGATGACATGCTAAGCATTTCACAGAGACCGGCCCCAGCCAGCAGCTTCATCTGGTACAAAAGACCTACATTTTATGAGGATACGAATTAAACCAAAAAGCCTCCTAAAGGGGCTCAACACCAGGTTTTCCTTCTTCCCGAAAGTTCAAAAAAGCTTCAGAAATATTCCTGTATCTCTCTGCTTCGTTCTGCAGGAAGCAGCCGTGTGCAGGCCTGCCTGGAGCCCTGCACGCGAACCTAAGTGGAAGAACGAGGACTCACCCAGGGCCCGGCCCGTCTGGCCCCCGAGCCTGCCCGCCGCCCGCGGGCTGGCGCGCCCTGGGTGGCGGGCGCTGCTGCTCTCCGGAAGCAGAGCCTTCCACGTCTCAGTAACGGGGTTATTTCCAGCATCTCATCATCACTTTATTCACTTCTGGCACAACCAAAGGAAATCCTCAAAAGAAGCCCCTCTTGCTCTGTCCCCCGGGGGCCAGGGGGACCCAGATCAGCGAGCAGAGCCTCTGAGTTTGGCAAGGAGACCAGGCTTCCTGATTACACGGTCGCCCCCACAGAAAGCCAGGCGTGGGGCTGGGGGGCAGGAGGGGCACTTGTTTCCGTTTCTGCCCGAGAGTCTATTTCCCTCCTTCACGAAAACATCTCAGGACCACGGGTTTAACTTGGGTAACAACATATAAAGATGGCAACTGCTATTGCTCTGTTGACCAAATACCATGCTTTTTTCAAAAACACGTTTTAAATAAGAATTTAAATGAATTAAAAAAAAAAGATAACTAACTCCCATTTTTTGGTTTTTTCCATGCTCACTTCTCCTGTATATTAGACCTGCTCCGAAGGCCCTCAGAGGCCTGGTACCAGCTCATTGATGCCTGTGGCTCAGTGGCTGTGGCACTACCCCCATGCATCTCAAGGCACTGCCCTCCCCACTCCTGCATCAGCCCATCCTCTCCTGTCGAAGATCAGAGTGTGGGGATGGCCTGAGTGGGGCCTCTCGCAACAAGCCAAGGTGGGTCCCCTCAGCTCATCTCTTCACTGTTTTTTTTTTCTTTTTCCAAAAAGGAAAAGAGGGAACAGGATGACAAGCCTGTTGCCAGCCATCCTCTTCCTGAACTCAGGATCCCTGCCCTGAAGCAGACCTGGGTCTGCACAGGACCCAGACGTGCCAAGTCTCAACGCAGAGTAAGTGGCTGTCCGGGCGCCGCAGGGCCTCCCCTCTCCACCCAATGAACAAGGAAGATGCTGGGCCAATCCCAGGTCAGGGGAAAACCTCACATTTGGCCACAGATCCCAGAGGAACAAGTGGATTACACACTGAATGGCCAGAAGTGTCTTCTTTGCCTGAGACACAAGGCAAGAGAGAAAGGTGAAACCCTAATGGGAAAGAAGACCCCGGAAGCCACATGATGAATCCAAGGAGAACGCCAGCCGCTCTTTACCTTCCTTGGGTCCTCCCGCACTCTTCTTACTAATTTTCAAGAACATTTCAATCTGGTTGTATGTATTTCTTACCTAACAAGAAGATATGCCAGCTGCATGTTCTTTGAAAGATGACCATTTTGATTAGCATTCATGTATTTCCAAGAAAATATTTAGGTCAAAGAAGCCTATCGATGAAATGGTGTGAAAGACAGAAGGAAGAGGCGAGATGAGGCTCCCCGCCGTGCTGCCAGGCCCTGGTTCTCTGGAGAGCAACGAGATTTCTTAACAAGTAGGACACGGACAACAGGCAAGCACACCTCACAGTGAGAACATGTACTTCACCACCTGCTTTTATGCCAGCAGCTACGGAATCATGGAAGAGTACTGCCTTCAACCCAGTAAGTGACTCTACGTATGACCCTGATTATCATCGTTTACTTTCAGTACTTGGGAACTTTGGGTTTTGCCCTCTCTGCTCGACCCAGTCCTCTCAGAGGCCTTGCCCCTGGACTGGCTTCTGTTCTCAGGTTCTAGGGAGGCCATTTATCCCCTTCCTGCAACGCCATCCCAAGACAAAGCACCGTATTCTGAATAAATAAGGTCACCTCTTCCTTCTGCGATGTGACCAGTGCTGAAGGCGGCCGGTGAAACCTGTCAGACTGGCTCCCGACTCCGCGGCCCTGCCTGGGGCTCACCATGGGGCCTGCAGAGAGGCCTATTCAGGGCTCTGACACACGCAGACAGAGGAACCAACGCCTCGGCCCACACAGCAGTTTTAGATCATACAACATCTGGAGGGGCTCCAAAGCTCAAGAAAAGAGAGACTCACAAACTGACATATCCCAGCTACTGTGCCTCATTTTGTCATCCCTGTCCGGCTGTAAAAGCTCTCTTCCCCGAAGGCAGCAAAGACACTCAGGAGTGAACATGGGTACCGGCTACCCATCCCATCTCACTGGAGTCTCCGTAAGATTTGATACCGCTCATAGCAAAGGACCCTGGCTTTACCACCAAGAATGATCGGGAGCCTGACTGCAGCTTGGTATTATGAAGTTAATATACTATAATACATTTAAACCTCGACAGAAGGATAGGGGTGGGGGAGGACTGCCTCAGCCTCCCTAGATTCTCTCTGACTCAGCCATGGCCCCCCAGGAGGGTCTGGGGCAGGAGTGAAGGCTTGTTCCATCCCCACTTTCAGGAAGTCAGCCTTATGACAACCAACCGATTAAAAAACACTTCATAAGAAACTTCTTAGAAGCACCGCGCGAGTTCATGGTTCACTGCGGCGGGGGCGGGGGGGGGGAGCTCGGAAGGCGGCAGAGTGAACGCTTTTCCTCACAGGTCTTCCCTCTCTGTTGGTGCCGCCGTTCACAGCAGCTGCCGGGGTGGGCAGGACAGGAGACTTGCAGAAGGACAAAACCTTATCTCATGGAAGGTAGGGCAGAAAACCTGGGATAAAACTGCATTGACAGCTCCCCCATTATTCTACTACATCTGTGATCCTGCCCTATTTTTCTGGTTACATCACCAAAATTTCACACCCAAAATTAGAAACACAGGATTCAGAGCTGAAAGAGTTCTCAGAGTTTAATTCAGGGCAGCCCTGGTACGGCCCCTTCTGTGTTCCTGGGGACAAGTAAGCCTTGACCTCACCACATCCTGAAACAGCACATCCCTTCCCTGCAGCTCCAGCTGTTGTAAAGTGCACGCAGAGGGAGTCAGGTCCTATCCTCACAGCAGTCCCTACCGTCAAAGGAACCATCGTGTGTCCACTGATTCTTTAAACCATTCTTTCCTAAACCTAGCACAGCAAGGACTCAGTTTCTGAAACTTAATGAAAAACTTAATTTAAAGTCTTCTCTGGCGTTAACACATCAGAGCAACATGGGAATAGAAAGGCAGACCGTTTCAGACCTACTGGGCCACACTGGCTGCCTCTGATCATGTGAACGTGAAAGATGGTAACCTGTGCTTTCTTCATACTGATCTAGCACGACCTGCTGACAGTGCTTCCACCTGAGCATCAGAGGACACACAGTACAGCACACCCGAGAAGCTTACATCAACCCTGGAACAACGGACAATTACATTCATTCTGCACCGCTTTTTTCAGTGAGAAGACAAGTACTAAGCTTTATACTCGTGCCCCTTCATTTAATTATCAGGAGAATTTGGGAGAAAAAATGACACGAAATAAGAAAAGTATGAAACACTGTTGGAAGCAACAGACACACGCATTCCCTTTTCCAACAGAGGACTACAAAGGGCAGCCCACTAAGAGGAAGGTGCTGAACTGGCTGGGGAAAAGAGCCTAGAAAGAAACTGAAATTGGCTTACAGACAAGCGACCACTCACACTCATCAGTTCACAGGTGAGGAGGAGGTGAGAACATGCACTGGGGGAGAAGGGGAGAGTTTGGACGCAACCAATGTTGTGATGTGCAAAACTGGCAGCAGACATGGTGAGGGTTACATGGGAGAAAGAAGCGGCACCCCAAGGCCTTGAGGAAAACCATCACTGTGCTCCCTGTGGAAACGGTCAGACACGGTATATGCAGCTACCAGGATCTCGGACGGGAGTGGACAGCCTGGAGCAATAAGCCAGAAGAGTCTCTGGATTTTGCTAAACACAAGAGAGAGTAAACACTGAAGTGTGGGGAAATCCTCTCCTCTCCTCTCCTCTCCAGTAAGGAGGTAAGGTCCGACAGAGGCCACTGAGAAGGGCTCTGACCTTTCAGTCACAATCTTCCCCAAAGACACAGCTGTCTCATCTCCTCCACAGCCTGGGTGAGGGGCAAAACTGCATACAACCTGCAAGCTTTCAGTAACCAAACAGTTACCTGAAGTCATTTATCACCACAGCGGAGGGTCTGATTCTGGTGGTGTGGGCTGCAGAGGGCCGCACGAGGTTGTCTCTCTCAAGACCAAAACCGAAACAAAAACTCAACTCAGGACATGCCTAAGAAGGATTCTTTCAACTCTTCAGACACCAAGGCAGCAACCTTCCCCTCACTTCCTCCCCGGTGCACAATCTTCACAGTCAGAAAGTAAGCCCACAGGCACGGGCGTGGCTCCCCCCACCGTGCGGGTTAAAGGGATGAACCTTTACATGGAGGAAAATGGCAGAGGCTGTTCTTACCATGCACGCCGTACTCCAGATGTCAGCAGGTGTACTGTAACCCGCGCCTATCAAAACCTCTATGGATCTATACTGACGCGTCTGGATGTCTTCTGTGAAGTGTTTATGCTGGAAGGGAACGGACTGCATTACCGTGGAGGAAAACACACAGTAAAGAAGAGAAAAGCATCTTCTAATTCATGATAAAAACCAAAATGCTTCAGAAAGAAAACTACTTACCACCCAACAAGCATTTCCCAGGTCGGCAATTTTAACTCTGATTTTGTCTGCGTTTCGTGGGTCCAGGGGATTCACCAACAAGTCGGCAGCGCGGGTTTTTGCTGGCATGAGCAAACAGCAGGAAGTTAGTGCCTGGATAAGTGGTTTGCACGTGTGCACACAAGACTTGCTGGGCACAAGTCTCCTTTTCTAAGCAAGTGATGGGATGATCATTTAGGCCTGGAATCCTGTAAGTTGAACTCAACAGAATTTAAATTCTTGGTCTCCATCTCTGGAAAATACTTCACGAGAGAACAAACTGGCCAGAGGCCCCATGGACACTTCCTTACCCTTTCTCCTAGACGCCCGACGCTTCACCTCAAGGTCATTCCCGCTCGGCTCCCCTCTCCTCCCACTGCTCCCCACTAGACCTGCGCCCACTCCCTACGGGAGCCCATCCAGCTCAGAAGCGCACATCACACAGGACGTGAGAGACAACAGCCCCCTGCACGGGCGGCCAATGCCTTCCTAAGTGGCCACAGTTCACCTGGGACCCCATCCCCTACCTCCTCACTGCTTGGGGTGAGCACAGAGAGCTCAAGAGTTAGATGATGGCTGATTAGCAAATAAAGGTTAAAGGCTGGGACTCATCAATTCTGGCTCAGCTGTGGATGAGAAATGCTCCATAAGGCTCCTGAGATGGCCCAGGCCCTAAGGTCGCTCACAAACGTGTCCAATACTCAGGCCACTCTCAACCCCAGGGGACCCTGAAGGATTCTCAGCAGCAGGCATAGGGCTGGGATTCTCAGGGCTGTGGGGCCAGAAGAGCTTCTCAGGCAAGTCCAGACCATGCCTGCATGAAGCAGTTAAACCAGGGGTGAGCGACAAAGGAAAACAACATGGTGAGGCCCCAGACAGAAAATGCTTAAGTGAGTCAGCATCTCCATCAAAACTCAACGATCGACGAGCTTGGATTTCTGGAAAGAATGAGACATGACCATTGCTTTTATTTTCAAAGTAATTCTGAAATGGTACTCACAGACCAAACAGAAAAGCCTGCTCAATGCAGAACATTAAACACCCTTTTGTTCACTAGAAGGTGGGCCCTGCTGAAATGACCGAACCTCCTTTGGGTACAGCAATGTGATGGAGTGCGGCACCCGACACGGGCGGCAAGGCCAGGCCAGGCCATATGCACAGTGAGCAGGGCAGTGAGTGGGCAGGGTGCCTAGGACCTGGGGCACCCACAGAGCTCCCCAAGGGGGGGCAGAAAATGCAAGAGAACTCTGGCAATGTTTTAACCCTCAAGACCTGCTCCTCGGGCTTGTGGCTCAATCCAAGCCAGCCAGGCCACGTGTCCCTTCTCACTGTCTGCCCTGTGCTCATGTCCCTCTTTATGCTGGTTCCCAGGAGGCCTCACCAAAGGCCAGGTATGAGCCAAGGAGAAGAAACATAGGAATTCAGAAGTGATAAGGACAGCAGCACAGAGACCCACACAAAGAGTCGAGGTAAACACTGAGCAGGGAGTGGGCTGAGAAACAGAGCTCCAGGAGAAACATAAACATGCTGATGCAGCAGACAGGTGGTCAGCAATGGGAACGGCCAGATGACTCCCTCGTGTCCTTTAATTGAGGAGAGTCAGCAGGCAAGAAATGGAATCTGAGGTTTGCGTAACTAGATTCAAACATAAATTTCAACACCTTAAAGTTATAAAACTCTGGCAAATGACTAAACCCTCTGAGGCTCAGTTCTCAGTAACAGAGGAAGAGAAAGAATCATCCCTCCCCAACCAAGAAATAAAAATGAAAAAGGACCAAACACGGGGGAGCCGCAGCTCGGCCTGGCCAGCCAGACCCAGGGCCCACTCTGCCTGCAACTAGCCAACCACCCTCTGAGGGGAGTCTCCTCAGTGAAGGACCAACCAGAGCGGTGGGTTCCACCACCCCAGATCACTCAGACCAAAGGCCTGGCGGGAGAGGAGGAAGCTGCTGGTTCTGATGGTGAGTGAGCCGCTCTGAGGGCACTCACTGGGAGGAGGGATCTGTGCCCGCCACCACCCTGCTACTGCTGTTGTTTTAAAGACACCTCCTGTAACCCAGCTCCGCTAGAGGAGACACACTTCACGAGACACATCATCACATACCTTCAGTACAGATGTTCCTCCACGTACGACGGGGTTACATCCCAAAAAACCCATCTCAAGTTCCAAGTACCGTAAGTCCAAAATGTATTCAATACACCTCACCTATCAAACATCATAGCTGAGCCTTGCCTACCCCAAACGAAACTCAGAACACTTACACCAGCCCACAGTTGGGTACAATCATTTAACACAAAGCCTATGTTATAATAAAGTAACTTGCTGCACTGTCCTGAAAGGGACAGCAGGCCGGCTGCAAGCGTCAGGGCTGCCCCGCCTCGGGATCACGGGGCCGACGGGAGCCGCGCTCGCTGCCCTGCCATCTACCACCCGCCAGCAAAAAGGCCACAATTTAACATCTGAAGTATAAAGTTGAACCATCATTAATTCAGGGACCATTTGCACAGTTTCTCTGTCCTTAATATTCCTCGTTTATGATCACTGGACAAAGTCTCTTTGGTGACACACTGTTATCCTCCTGGTTCAGATACGTAAGTGGCTACCTGGTGCACGATGCATTCCACATGATACAAGGCAACTTACCTCAAAAATGTAACTGTACAAGAACACAGAGGTAGAAGAGAATCAGTTTGCATTTCTTTTCTCAGTGTGAGAGTTCCCTGCTCTAGGTATCTGTGACAGGTTACCTGACTGTAACACTCAAAAAGGTCCACTTAAACGCACTCACATTTGCTGTGTACTCATACCAATTTTGCTTTGCCCGGAAATCCGATCACCTCCTGATTCAGTCACCATCATATAGCTATCACAGCTCTCCCCTGCTCTCTGCTTCTATCAAGTGGGAGGAGAGAGGTGAGAAGATTTCACTTCAGGGAGGGCTGGGGCCCTTGGGTCATTCTGATAAACCAGTCTCTGGGTGACACCGCATTCACTCCCTGCAAAGCGATCCTAGAACTAGTAGGATGGCAGCCAGCCAGGCTCGAGTGACGAAACAGCTGTCATCACTTCTCTGCAAGGCACTGTGCTGGGTCCACCTGGATTCTTTCTGTTCCAAACAGCCTTACAAGGAAGGCGTGAGCACCTTCTTCATGTGCAGGAGGTTTAGCCCCAGCCCAAGGAAGCAGTGGTACTAGGAGATTCTATGCCCAAACCTGACCTACTTGTTCATCAGGTATCTATCGCGTCCCCTCTACGTCCCAGATGCTGTCCTGGCACTGGGAACAGCATGAACAAGAGATACGAGGTTCCACTGCCATGCCCCAAATTAGGAAACTCATGCACTGGCTGGGAATATGGGTGATTAAGTAAATAAAATGAATGGTTCGTATAGTAACCCTATATGCTCTGAAGAAAAAGCAGAAAAGGAGCTGGACACTGATGAGGATGTTCAGGGCAGGCCTTTTCTGGGAACATCCTGTCTGAGGAGTGGCCTGATGAAGGGCATGGAGGAGAGAAGCTCTGGGCGGAAGAGATAGCAAGGGCGAACCGCACAGAGACAGAAACAAGCTCACACCCTCAAGAAACTTCAAAAAGAAGCCAGTGTGGAGGTGCAGAATGAGTGAGGAAAAGGCGAAGGAGGTGAGGGGAAACGGTATCAGGAAGAGAACGGCCAGAGGACGAGCTGCACAGAGCAGTCAGCTTCAGAGAGTGACGCCCCTGGGCTTATGTTAAGTGGAAATGCACCGGAGACCATGGCGGGGAGCAATGGGGCGAGCTTCAGAAAGCCCTCAGTGGCTGCTCCCCAGGGAACTGGCCAGGGAGTGAGAACTAGAGTGAGATGAGTATGGAGCCGTTTTCCAGCAGCCTAGCCAAGCACTGACGCCGATGGGGGTCACTTCTAGGTGAGGGTGACAGGCCTCAACAAACACCTTGCAGGTGCCAGCTTGCTCCCGGGCCTTTGTCCTTCAGATGGGTTGAGCCAAGATACATGCTCAGGCTCCAGCAGCTGATAATCCTAGAGGAATCCTGCCGCCTCTTCCCAACCTTCAAGCAGCTATCACATCACTCCAGGGAAAAGTTCACATTCTTTAGCCTGGCATCTAAGTTCTTCCTCAATCTTCTCATCCTGGCCCAACCTTTTCCTCTCCTACCCCTAATGTACACACTCTGCTGTGATGACCAGGCTCCACACAAACTCTGAGTGAAGCCTGTTCCTCTTGCCGCATGTTCCTGCAGCACCAGGTGGCCAGCTTCCAGCCGCTAGGCCGTCCTTTCCCCACAGGAAGCACAGCACCTCCCATGCAGGGCTGTCCATGGCTATCCAGAGACTGGGCTGGAAACCCAAACTGAGTGCCTCCAAACAAACGACTGAATAACTGAAAAGGTCTGCTTGGTAAGAGACCGGGATCAATGAAAAAAATCTTCACAGAACAGGGTGCTGCGGATGGAGTGTGTGGGGGGCAGAGTAAAACTGTGATTTTGAGTGGAAAAAGACCAGAGAAAGGGAAGAGCTGAAGAATATAGCCAGGCATCACTGATTTCTTAGTTCATTATTCAAAAAAATGCTTCTTTCAGCACTGAGTTAGATGCTGCAGATACGAAGATAAAAACACACAGCACCCTCAAAGAGTTCACACGGCAGTGAAGAGAAAGACAGCAGGAAGCGAACAATGACCACGCAGTGAGGAAAAGGACAACCAGCAGGGAGAGGGGAAAGAGACCTAGGACCTGCCAGGCAACACGGGGAGGATCCGACACGAGAATCAAACTGAGCCCAAAGGGCTGGACGATGAACAGGAGAAAGCACTGCACGAGGAGGAAAAGCACCAGCAAAGGTACAGAAGCAAGAGTGAGCACGTCACTCTCAGAGACGCTCTTATTATGTCTCGAAGACAAATGCGGAACAGACTACACTTGGGATTACTAAACCTTTCCACTGTCTGCTCGATCTGTAAAAGATGTGTGGACACCCATTTCAATACATGCATGCTTACAAGTTTCGCATACTACTGTTCCTTTGTATTATGCACACTGTAAAACATTTAAAAATATTAACAGCAAAAATCACTTGGACACATGTCTGACTCCGGCTGGGACTTGTGGTTCCAGAAGAGCAAGGAAACACAGGAAGACTAATGGGCTCAAAAGGACTCAGAGACAACCTCAAGGGGCTCACGCCGACCAAATCGGGGATAATTCTGGCATCAAAAAAAGAAAAGCTGTAAACGTTGGTAACACACAATTCGATGTGTTAATTAAAAAGAAAAAACAACCCACCAGCCTGTGATATGAAGGAATGTGCGAGTCTGCAGAGGCGGGTGCGTCGAGCGAGAGCACGAAAGCCTTGCCCCCCACACGCCGCTCCCTACGCACCCATTATTATATCCTTTCCCTGTAAGCCGACAACCTAGCAAATGACCCGTCTTCCTGAGCTCTGCCAGCTGTTCTAACAAATTAATCAAACCCTAGGACAGAGTCAAGGAAACCTCTGATTTACAGCTGGTCGTTCAGAAACACAGGTAACAACACGGACTTGTGACTGGCAGGGGGGGAGGGCTAGTCCAATGGGACTGAGCCCTTAACCCCAGGGTCTGACACACTCTCTCCAAGTAGTGACAACTTTATTTAAACTGTAGGACACTAAGCTGGGGTCCCTACACACACATTTGGGAACTAAAAGTATCAGCAGCAGTGGGGAAGTAGAATGAGAGTAAAGGAGAAATGCAGAGGCGAGTTTTTCCTTAGATGAGACCACTTTCCTCATGAAAGTTATTAAGCACTTTCAGAAAGCTTCTGGCCAGAGTAAAGGTGCACAGAAGCGGCACGTGTCCAAGTACAAAAACCACGGCCTTAGGATGGTTAGTGGCCGACGGCTCTGCAGGGCTCCTGCCCGCCTGGGCCAAAGGGCTGCAGGGCTGCGCGGCCTTCTCTGCAGGACGGGCTCAGCAGCTCACCCACCATGTGCTCAACACTGTCGTCAGGAGATGGAGCAGAGGAGGATGCTGAGCTTTTCCAGACTAGAAACCAACTGTGCTGCCCGGTGTCTGCCTACCCAAGTCCCCTAGGACGCCGCAGGAAGAAACATGGCACGTGGTGTTCACTCTCAAAATCAGTTCTGTGTAAGTCGTCATCACATTTAAACTCAGGCCACTTCCTTTAAAATTTCTTTAAAATTTCAACAGCAGAATCTTATAATTGAGAACAACTATAAAAACGAAATAAGACACTTCTTCCTCAATACAGAGAAAAAGCACATTTTTCCTTGAACAGAAACGAAACAAAACAAAAACCAAAATCTAAATACAACACTACCAGATGGAAGTATAGATTAAAACTTAAACTACATATCCTAGAAAACCACAGGTGGAAGACACTGTACTCGGAAGGCTTCTGCAAATGTCTGATGTCACTAAGTTTCGGAAGACGGAAAAAAACTCAGAGATGGGATCTGGTATCAGAGAGCAGGAAAGCCCAGAAGCAAAAAATGGACTTTACATTACTTATTCACAAGAACACAAGCAATAAAATGAAAACAGTTAATGCACGGACGCGTGACTTCACCACCTCCAGGCAACTCCCCTCTCAGCACCTGTCACGGGTGTGATACCTGGGCCACTGAGAGCAGACACTTACTTTTTGGCAAATCCCCAGTGCTGGAGGCCGAGACTGTCCTGCTTCTGTCACGGGATGGACTGCTTTCCTCGTGCTCGGTGAGTGGGGATCCCTCAGAAAGCGCAGAGCCACAAGCCACAGGTTCTAAGGGCCCAGAGAACAAGGATGTGGAAAACTCTGGAAACTGTGACTCAGGGATTTTATGTCGTCCATTTGGCAATTCACCATTGAATTGTTCATAGGAGCTGCTATATGTGTAATCACTTTCTGCATTTGGCTCGTCAAGGTTATATTCCTCGGGATTTGGGCAATCTTCCTCCTCATCATCTTCGTCATCCAGCTGCTGTTCCAGTAAGAACGGGCCATTCTCAATATGGCCATTGGTTTTGGGTGATTCTATCCAAGTAGGGTCTATGTTCACCAGTTCCTGCTCAACATCATCTTCATCCTTCTCAGTGTTTTCTTTCTCGGTGTCTTCTTTCTCTTCCTGGTCCTCAGCCTCACCTTAAAAAGTCGGTGGGTAAGAATTAGAACGTGTCACTCTCCCTCACAGAGTGCACTCGGCACTTATCTCCTCCAACAAGAGACATGTGTGAACACTCCAACTTCATGTGCTACAGCAAACATCTCTTAGCTCTCGGGGTAAAATCTCTAAGTTTTCTAAATCTGATTTTTCATCTATGAAACAACTGCCTATTCTTATCAGGAGAAGTGAGCTCTTAGGGAAAATGAGTATAAACAGAGCTGCACTTCCATTTCCAAATCTTCAGAAAAGGTCTGCGAGTGCATCATTGTTAAGTAAAACCATAACTACAGAATGAAGGACAATCATTAGCATGATAAAGACGTGGTATTTCTCACACATTTTTCATTTTTTAAGACAACTACCTTGAAATACTAACATATTTCTGGTTCATCTGACAAAACAAGAAGCACGCAGTTCTGCACGCTCCCCAACAAGGAGCGGGAGGCCACCCGTCCTGTGTCTGCACAGCAGCAGCCCCCGGTCACCTGCGAGCTGACCTCGAGGGCCCTACTTCCGGGGCTCCCATGCAGCCCTGCCTCCAGATCTCACTGACCGTTGTTATTCGCAGTCTCTCCCTCCGCTGCCTCGTCTAGTCCTGCTGTTTTTAGCTTCACCTCTGGGTGGTATTCATCTTGCTCGTTGGAAGGTACAGCCGATGTAACGTTTTCTTCTATTATTTTCCTTTCAGCTTCTCGCTCCAATTCTTCTATTTCCTGCAGGCGCTTTTCCAGTAACTCAGCCTGCCTTTTCTGCTTCTTCTTCAGTTTTTTCTTTTTGTTTTTGATATCTTTCCTATCTATAACATGTTAAGAAAATACCACAGGTCAGTTTGCTTCTTTTTAAGGCACTAGTGCTGGCAGCATGGCCAATACCAACATACTCTTTTTTTCAGGTTGTATTCAACTAAAATCCCACGCCCAGACACAAGGTCCAGAGTACAGCTAGGCATATGGTAAAACCGGAAAAAAAAAACCAGTGCTAGCATCAAGCAACGAGACATCAACAAGCTGCTGCCCTCAGAGGGATGGATACAGCTTATAAATCCACGAAATATTTCTCCTTTAAACTCTTAGAACTGAATATGCTGAGATACTGTGGCCTTTAAACAGAATCTATTGCAAGTTTTATTTGCTGCTGCCTGACCACAAAGTAACAACGTCCCCTCTTCTCTCCTTACACTCAACTGTCTGCCAAAAAAGAAATGCCTGCCAAAACAGGTGTATTTCACTCATTGTTGGTCAACAGCACTGCTTGTGTTTGGGTCCCACACACTGAGCTATTATCAACAGCCAAGGCTGCAGGAACCGTAAGACATGAGCAGGCAAAGTAAAGAAAAACAAGAAAGAGCCACAGTGTCAGTCTGCCTCCAATCATGGCCATCTGACTTGGAAAGTACTGGCAACCAGGACCTCTAGTCTTTTACAGAATCAATAATCAAAACGGGCTGCTCAGGCCACAGCAGAACTGTGGGAAATGACTGTGCTCCTCAGCAGGCCAGGCGGCCTGACTCTTACAACTCCCTCCTGTGCTCAGACGTCCATTCCAAACAGAGGGCTGCTGGCAGCTCTCTGAAGCTCTGCATATTTCCTTCCAAACTCTTCTGGTTCATAAAGCTCTTTTAAAACCTGTAGGTGAGCCATCAGCTCAAGATGCATACATCCTATCCTCTGCTGGAACCAAGCCCGGTTTAGATTCCTTGGGGTAGGATTTAACTCCAAACAGCTCGTTTCCTCTGACAGGACCACAGAGATAATACTCTTTCATATTTAGTTACTGACTGGAAAAGAATTACAACTGCAGCTTCAGAAAAACAGGTAACTTGGAGGCAAATCAGAAATGATATAAAGCGTTTTTGGAATAATCACACTTCAAACCCTCTCTCTGTCACCTCACATTTTTACCAGACTCAGCCATCAGCACTCCAGAAAGTGCACGAGAAAAACAAAGACAGAATTTGGGACGGCTCTAACTGCTCCAGCCCTAAAAACCACTTCATCTTATCAAAACATTAGCTCTTATATATTCAAGAATGCCAGGCATCTATAAACATGTCTTTTACATTAATATACATTACAACATCGATGACTGAGAAAGGAACAAAAAATGTACAACCCATTCCCCCGAACAACTCTTCAGTGAAAAACCGCACAAGAAACAAGAATTAATGTTACAATTTGAAAAGCTCAATAAGGAACAGGTGGTTTTGACAAGGAGGTGAATATAAGTAGGTAGGTAAGTACTTACAGGTTTTTGCTGTGGAGCGGTGCTCACTAAAACAAAACAAAACAAAAAATGAATGTTTAGAGGGAAAAACATACTTACCTTTATGTAGGTAATTTGAATTGTAAAATGAAATAACTACTGCCTTTTAATGGCTATCCAACTGTAAGAACTGTTAAATATTAGAGCTGCTTAATCATAGAGACCTAAAGAAAGTTTAGCCAACTCAAAGGAACGACTGGCTCCTTGAGGCAGAGCCACAGCTTTTCACGTGGGGCCATTACTCCTATTATCTAAAATTAAATACCCATTCACTTCACAACAGTCAATTCCAAAGCACTGACTGATAAGAAAATAAAGAGTTCACAAATGTCACACAGTCGTCCTACCAAATTTGTTTTATATGAAATGAAAAACTAATTTACACATTTTAAAACTATTAATTTACATATCTATGTTTGAAAACTATCTCACAAGTTTATACAACTAAAGTAAATCTAATACTGCAACAAATGTTCTAGGAATCCCATCAACAGACGTGGCTGGCATCAAAAGCTTGATAGACTATGGGTCCATGATCTAAACAACACCCTGACGGTAGAAAACCACATTCAGAGGTGGTGCATCTTCCAATAGCCCCCGTGAGTCACAGGGCTTTGGCCCTTCAGGCCCCATGCCTGCCTGACAACACGACACGGCAGAGAGAAGATGAAGAGAGGGTGAAAGCACCGTCCACACTTCGCTGCCACCCTTATGCTCTGTGAAACCAGAAATAAAACTATATAGGCCATACTCAAATCACTTGGTCATCTTCTCTCGCCCTGAGGTCTTTTGTTACTAATTCTAAAGCCACCAGTTAGACGCAGACTGATACGCTAACTGGAGACAAGGAAGCATTCTAACAAAACTGAAGCTAGAAAAAAAAAAAAATCTGAGGCCTGTAGGTGGGCTACATGAAACCTGCAATGACATACTCCTCTGCAGAGAAGTGGGCAACACAAAGAATGTTCAAACATAGATGAAGCAGGGGCAAGAATTCAAATGACCTTTCAGGGGAGGACAAAGTAATTCAAATATTAAAGTACAATTTAATTTGGGCATCCTCCTTCTCAAGAAAAAGGTATACTTATTTCTAGTAATCAGGACCTTCCAAAAGTTCCTCACATGTTCACGTTTGACTCAGTTGCCTTCAGTGTGCAAATCTGCCCCCAAAAAGACTGAAACAAAGCTGGCTCGGGCCCTCACCTGCAGATCCAGAAGGAGGAGGAGCGCCCGCTTTCTGCCACTCAGTGGCCTCGGCTGCCATTCTTCTCACATAGGCATCGTCCACACACATCAAGATGTTTTCCGGCTTTATGTCAGTATGAATGATCTTGCACTTGCTGTGTAAGTAATCTAACCCCTGAAGCACCTGGCCACGTAAAATCAAGAGAGGAGATGAGTTACTAATATCTTTATTATCCAACATTTATTTGTAAAATACTTAACATCATTACAAGGCACAAAATACAACAGATACAAAGAGTTTTAGTAAAAATCTCCCCTTGACCCTGGTCCCCACAGGAACCCAGCTCTTTTTCAGAAGCAACCAACATGTATCATTCAGGAGATAATTTATGCTCATGGAAACAAATGCATCTATGCATATACTTTTTAAAATAACAATTTTACTGAGATGTAATTTACACATCACACAGTTAACCCTTTTATGTGTACAATTCAGGGTTTTTAGATGTGCAACCATCACCACTATCTAATTTAGAACAATTTTACCACACAAAAAAGAAATATCGCACCCATTAGCAGTCACTCTCCATCTCCTCCCAACTCCTCTGGCCTGAAGCCACCACTAATCTACTTCGCTGGGTTTGACATTTTATATAAATGGAATGATACAAAACTGTCTTTTGTAACCGGCACAAGGTTCATCCAAGTGTAGCACATACCAATACTTCATTTCTCTTAAATGACAAGTAATGTCCCATTGAATGCACCGTATTTTGTTTAGTCATTCACACAATGAATATTTGGGCTGTTTCCACTTTTTGGTTATTGTAAATAATACTGCTATGAACATTCATGAACAAGTTTTTGTGTGAACATATGTTTTTATTTTCCTTGCATATATGCCTAGGAGTGTAATTGCTGGGTCATACAACTCTATATTCAGCCTTCCGATCAACAGCCAAACTGTTATACTGTGGCTGCACCATTTTCCGTTTCCACCAGCAATGAATGAAGGTTCCGATTTCTTTATCATGGCAAATACTTGTTATCTGTCTTTTTTATCTTAGTCACCCTAGTGGG